ATTACATTTAGAAATTAACAAAAGTAATATTTTAATTTTATATTATTAATATAGTGCATAACAGCATAAGTATATGTAGGTGATTAAAGAATTCTAAATATTTATGAACACATATTTAGTTAATTTTATATTTTTATTTACCTATTTATATTTCATATTTTATTCATTTTAATTAATGGAATTTCATTTAAAAATTTAAATAATTTAATTTTTAAATTTTTATAGATTAACGTTGTAACACCCCAATTTTATTATACAAAAATAAGGGTTTAAAAAAAAAACACATGTATAATTCAATGGAAGCATACCAACAAAGGAAATAGGATGTTATGCCACGTTCAGATATTTATCATATAGGGAAATATTTATGGTTATCGATTAAATTTACTCATATAAAATTTAACTAGTGTATAATACATTGTATATGCACATAACATTTATTAATATGTATTTAGAAAAATTCTATAATACAAATTTTTCTAATTATATATAATTTATGTTGTTAAATTCATAATTAAAATAATTACATTTAGAAATTAACAAAAGTAATATTTTAATTTTATATTATTAATATAGTGCATAAGTATATGTATGTGATAAAAAAACTCTAAATATTTATGAACACATATTCAGTTAATTTTATATTTTTAGTTACCTATTTATATTTCATATTTTATTAATTTTAATTAATGGAATTTTATTTAAAAATTAAAATAATTTAATTTTTAAATTTATAGAGATTAATGTTGTAACGCCCCCAATTTTATTATACAAAAATACGTTTTTTTTTTAACAAAAAAAAAAAAAAAAACACACACACACACATGTAAAATTCAACGGAACCATACCAACATAGGAAATAAGATGTTATTATTAGGACTATTTTAGGACTTTATGTATTTGAGTAACATTATGACTACCTATACTAGTTTCCATATGATTCTTCTTGTATATATTTCCCTAGTTTGTACAGTTGTAATTCAAGTTCATTCAATACAATTTATACAGTTCTCATCTAGTATCAGTTAAGCTAGGATTTCTTTCGTTCCAATGGCTAAAGGATCAGTTAATTCCTCCGGGCGAACCGTTTCTGATGCCGCCATCACATCTTCTGCTTGCATGCTTGTCAATTCACTTTCTGTTGCTCATCACTTCATCGGTATTAAGCTCACCCATAAAAATTATCAGTTTTGGAGGACTCAAGTTGTATCGTTCCTGGATGGTCACGGCCTCATGTCGTTTGTCGATGGGAGCCATCCGTGTCCGGCCCCATTAGGACATCCACACCATCGTATTCTTCAGTCATGTTCGGTTAGTGGGTCTAGTAGTTCTATCCATTGTAATTCTACTTTATGTAATGCGTGTCAATTGGGTAAATCTACTCGATTCCCATTATCACGTGTTGAGTCGTCCTGTACTAGTGTTCTTGATTTAATATATACAGATATTTGGGGTCCAGCTCCTTTGTTGTCCATTGATGGTTATCGCTATTTTGTTATTTTTGTGGATGACTATACCTGCTACACCTGGTATTTTCCCATGAAATTAAAATTTGATCTGTATACCATCTTTGATAAATTCCGTACAATGATTGAACGTTTTTTCAACAGAAAAATTAAATCCATTCAATCTGATATCGGAGCTGAATATAAAAAGTTGCATCATTCCTTTATTCAGTTAGGAATTATTCACCACCAATCTTGTGCCTACACTCATGAACAAAACAGCCGTGTCGAACAAAAACATGGACACATTGTTGAAACGGGTTTAGCTCTCATAGCCCGTGTCTCTATTCCATATAAATTCTAGAATTTTGCTTTTGAAACTGCTGTTTATGTAGTCAACAAAACGCCATCCGTTGTGTTAAATAACTTCAGTCCTCATTTAAAATTGCATAACTCTCATCCTTCATATTCTTTTCTTTGTGTCTTTGGGTGTCTATGTTATCTGTATCTCAAACCATACAATTGTCACAAAATGTCGTATCAGTCCTCTCTATGTGTCTTCCTAGGTTATCCTGAATCGTTTCGGGGGTATAGGTGCATGGACTTATAGACTAACAAGATTTATTGTGTGCAGACATGTAAGGTTTGATGAGATAGTATATCCCTTTGCTACTAAAAATACCTTGTAGGCTTCTCAACCAGTACAGACTTCTCCATGGACTGAATCGGTTTTTTTGTCCTACGGCTACTGTCGCTGCTTCGCCTGGGTAGTCTCACGGCGCATCTAATGTCGTTCCCAGCAGCGACACTGCCGCACCTTCTTCACTGTTGCACACCGCAAACGAGCCAGCCAGCCTGCCCGAGCAAGAACCGCATGAACCGTCTGTCAAGCCGGCTAAACGACCTCATGGCCGACCTCGAGGCAAATCCGTGAAGTCCACAGTTCGGACTCATGAAATGAGCACTCGGAGTCGATCTCAGGCTCCACCATCAGCTTTAACGGTTCAGGTTTGTCCTTCGGATCCCACTTGTTACATTCAGGCGGTTAAGTATCTGGAATGGCGTGAAGCTATGGATCAAGAATTTAATGCTCTTCTTCAGAATCAAACATGGCATCTTGTACCATCACAGGCAGGTATGAATATTATTGGGTGTAAGTGGGCCTTTCGTACAAAACGAAAGGCTGATGGCTCCATTGGAAGACATAAAGCACGACTTGTAGCAAAGGGGTTTAATCAGGTGCCTGGACAAGATATTTTTGATACTTTTAGTCCAGTGGTCAAGCCTACTACTGTTAGGTTACTTCTTTATCTGGCTTTATCATCTGGATGGATTGTTAGACAACTTGATGTTCAGTAATGAGCCTATCTGGGACAAATACACTCTAATTTTCAAATATCATATTGTTAAGAATGGGTTTAAGCCTATTTGCAATGGCCTTAGTGACAATTTTATAAGCCACTGTGCACAGAGTTATATGTTTGAGATCGGCCATGGTTTCTGGTTTGGAATTTTTGGGGATCAAAACTATGTGAGTTTGGTTTAGGCCCTTAAGGAGATAACCAATTCTAAGAAAATCATTACCTAAACTCACTAAACTCTCCCCAACTATGTCCTAGTAGGTATGAAAAAAACTTGGGTTTAAGCAATTGATACCTAGGCTTTTATCCGGGTGCATACCAAACGCTGCTGCTCTGACCTCATCCTTTGTAAAATTCCTCAAAAGCAATTGATTTTGCAAACCAGTGACCTTCTGGAATTGACACTGGAGCACCGGAATGTGATCACCTGCAGAGCTTGTGACAAGGTTGATAAAATAATCCTTGATCAACCGGTTCATGTCCTGACCCTGGTTGATCCAGACTCCTTCTCATTATTTCGCACTTGATAATAGTGTTTTTTCTGCGTCTCTATGCAACCACCCCATGGAGATATTTGGAATTTACATCACCACCCTTGTACCAGGATGTTTTTGCCCTCTGTCTCCAGAATTGATTCTACTGCTCCAAAAGTTGAAGGAAAGATCTCTGGGCACTAGAGAATTCATGCACACTAGGGACGTCCGTTCTACCTCTAAGCTGCTCCATTTGCTTTCTACATGCCTCAATTCTTCGTTGGAAGTTGCAATTAAAGTTTTTCCCCCACTTCCAGATTGCTGAGCTAAAAACATCAAATCTGGAGCAATGACTTTGGCCCATTGTAAATTTCCAGTAGTTGTCGACAATGGCTCTACATTGCTTCTCCTTATACCAACAATTCTTAAACCGGAATCTTCTTCTCTTCGAAATATGAACTGTAGGTATCGGCCAAATCACCAACGGGAGATGGTTACTAAGAGGTGCTTCAATTGAATTTTCCCTAGCATCTCCAAAGATATCGAGCCATTTATCATTAACCAAGATGCGATCCAATTTTTCTCTAACCCAATTCTGACTTCCCTCCCTCTTTCCCAAGTAAATTGATAGCCTTGAAAATTGAAATTTCTGAGCCCACTGCTTTCCACAGCCTCCTTAAAACCTTCCATAAGACACAAGGGGTGAGGGAATTTACCAATTTTCTCGCCCGGATATAAAATATCGTTGAAATCACCCATCGCGATCGAGGGGAGATCATTCTGAGCGAAGAGGTTTTAAGGAGATTCCATGAGTAGCGCCTTTTATGTCTTTCCAGGCACCCATAGAAGCCGGTGAAACGCCAAACATGAGGGGAGTTGTCGAGAGTCGTTGTCGCGTCGAAATGGTTCGAAGAGAAAGCAGTAATAGAGACATCGACTTCCTTCTTCCAAAGTAAAGCTAAGCCACCACTTAACCCAATGCTATCAACCACAAAAGAATAGTCAAAGCCCAACGTAATCCTAATATTTTCCATCTTCTGCGAATTTAATTTGATTTCCATTAAAAACAAAATCACAGGCCTCTTAGATTGGACCAGGTCCAATAAGACTTGAATTGTCGCTTGCTTGCCAAGCCCGCAACAGTTCCAAGATATGAGACTCATTGCGGGCTTGAATAACAGATCCCGCCTCTAACACCTTTTTTGGCCCATCCAAAATCATTTCTTCACACACATTTCTTCCAATCATTATTGTGTGGACCATGGTCCATACAAGTTGTGTGGACCATATTTTGTATACTATAAAATAATGTACATTCAGTACAAAAATAATGTACATTCAGCACAAAAATAATGTACATTATATTCAGGGGATGTACATTATTTTTGTACTGAGTGTACATTATATTGTATAATGTACATTCAGTACAAAAATAATGTACATTTAATATATTAAAAATGTATTTTATATTATGGTCCACATAACATTGTGTGGACCATGGTCCATACAATAATTTGCCCATTTCTTCTTCTTGGGTTTCAGTAATGGCTTCGGACCCAATTGGGCTGGGCCCCATGGTTGCATCCCTTCCTTGACTTTGTAGCAAGGCCCTTACGGATTGTGGGTCGTTAAACTGGTGGACATGAGGAATAATAGGAGGACCGGTGGATAAACCCTCTGTTTCCCGATTAAATGGGGCATTAAACTACTCTTCAGAGGCTCTCTCACGCAATACCTCATTTTTCTGATGAAACCTGCTTCTGACTTTACAATTGGAGTTTGAGAAGCGCATGAGGGTAAATATATATGTTGCTTTCAAATGTCTTTTTCTCTTCAGTTATCACCTGAGACACCAGAAAATGATTAGAATTTCTATGGCACGTGCATTATATTTACCACTCAATTTGTTTCATTCATGTCATCATACTCATTAGCTATGTTATTGACTAGAAAAAGGGATGCACTGAACTGGGAAAGATTTCCACCTAAACAAAGACTTGTCTTTGTGATGTAGCTTATGTTGTTACTCGCTTTGTTATTCAAAATTATCCATGCTTAAATTGCAAAACACAATTTCTGATAAATGAAAATTATTTCTCTTTTTTCTTGATTCAAGAAACTGCTATGTTTAGATATTTAGGGATTGATTCATCAAGCTGTGTCTGTAAATAGAAAAACTGAGGAATTGTTATGATATCATATCATGCTTCTAATAAGGAAATTTCAGCATGGGATTTAAACAACTTAAAACATCCTTATTTTAGGAAACACTACTATATTCTGTTTGATAATGAAGCAAAGGTTTTTGACAAGTCACATTTTTATTTATTCATCTGGGAAGTATTCAATTCCTTCTTATAGGCTGACATGGAGGAAGCCAAAACTGAAGAAAATGTGAAACTACAGTCTGCTTTGGAAGCCAAAACTGAAGAAAATGTGAAACTACAGTTTGCTTTGGAAGAAATGCGAGTTCAGTTTCAAGAGACTAAAGAATTGCTCATGAGGGAACAAGAGAAACTAAAGGAGCTTGCTGACATAGAAGAGGCCAAAACTGAAGAAAATGTGAAACTACAGTCTGCTTTGGAAGAAATGCGACTTCAGTATCAAGAAACTAACGAATTGCTCATGAGGGAACAAGAGAAAACAAAGGAGCTTGCTGACACAAAATTGCTCAATGAGCCTACTGCTCAAAACGAGTTTCCTAAGGTAAATTCAAAAAGCTGCTCAAAGCAACTTTATCAATTAGCTTTTTGTGAAAAGAAATTATACCAAACAGCTATCAGCTACCTAATTTACCAAACACCTTTCTACAATCAGTTAGTGTTATCAACTAGTTATATCCTTTAATTAACCCAATCAGCTATTAGCTAAAAGTCATTTACCAAACAGTGCTTATAATATTCTTTGCTGCTATTTCGACATTCCACCTCTCACCACAATTTTTACATTCCCATGCATAATTATGGATACTTCTTATAGGTTGACCAGGACGAAGCCAAAACCCAGGCAAAACTACGAGCTACTTTGCTTCAGCTCCAACAGGCTACCGAGCTACTCTTGAAGAAGGCACGTGAGCCTGACCTACTCTTGGAGAAGGCACCTGAGCCTGTGGAGAAGAATGCTGACCAGGTTTAGCTTGCTGCTCAAAACACCTTTTCAGCTTCAGGGTCACTCAATTGGGCTATAATGCACAGGAGCCAAACCACTACAAAATTGAATTCAACCAATTAGCTAGTCTAACCCATGACCTTATAAACCCATAAATTTATGTTTTTTGTTTCCTCTCTTTCTGGCTTCTGTGCATGGTGATTGGCTTGTTCAGTCCTTTGACTATATCAATAATATGCTGCGTTTGATGTACTGATTCTATTGAAGAGCAGTTGAAGCAAATCATGGAGTGCAGATGCTTTGGTTGGCTCAAAAGATTAAAGGGTAAATGCAGAATTGAGTGAAGGGCAGGAAATGAACCCTGAGCCTCCTCATGTAGTGTTGGAGTTGGAGGCAATCAAGAAAGGTATCAAAATTAGAGAGAAGAAAGTTGAGGAGATGAAACGAGAAGTAGAGTTCTTGCAGAATTCAGTAACAAAAGCAAACAAAAGAAAGAGCTTATGGACCATCATCTCTTCTAGTTCTGCCAATATCTCTAGCATATGTTGCCCCAGGTCATTGAAGCTAATCTAATCTAAGGGATAGATTTAATTCAAGGTTCAATTTGTTTGTTACCATTTTTTCACTACCAAAACCAATAGCTCCTCACTTTTGAGTTTTGATGGATGGGTCATGGATGGATGGCCTAACAAATTGCATACAAATACACAGAAAACAAATACATTAAAAGATAGCCCCAACCCTAAGAATCCGGAAATACTGAGAAACTCAACCAAACTCATTGAAGATCAGAACTTGAACATACCTATGAACCAAACTAATGGCTCCTCGGTCAAAGTACCTATGAGATCCCTATACTATAACGTTTTGTTCAATTTAGTCCTTCTACCTTAATTTTGTTTTAGTCCCTGTACTACAAAAAGTAAAACGATTAAGCACAATAATTGATATTTATGTATTTATTTTGGACATATTATATAATATATTGGTGGTAAAAATAAGTAATTTTAAATATTTATAAAATAATATATGAGTTGGCATGTAAGTATGATGATGTGACTGATAAGATGTCAACGTCATATCAGCGATTGTCCTTAATTGTTTCACTTTTTAGAGTACATGGACTAAATTAAACAAAATTAAAGTAGAAGGACTAAATTGAACAAAAGACTATAGTACAGGGACCTCATAGGTACTTTGAACGCTCCTCCCTAGTCCCTACTCTAGGTACTATGTTAACCCTACATTGAGATATGCTTGCAAAAATTAAGAAAATGACTTCCATTTTCAATTGAGATAGAATAACCCCCAGGATGGTATCAATGAAGGAATATTTAAAAAAAAAAAAAATTGAAGCAAGAAGTTAAATAAGTTTTTATAAATTTGAGCTTAAAATTCGAACAACCTTACTCAAACTCGAGTTCAATTCGAGTCATGTTGAGTAGATCTTAGACTCGAGCTCAAACACTTTAGCCAAAAAAAATGGTGAGTCAACTCGAGTTTGAGCTCGGCTCGACTTGTTTGCACCCTTAAATAAAGATTACACAATTGGTCTACCTTATATATACTTCAACCCTTCAAGACTAATTATACAATACAATTACAAGTCTCTCCGTCTCTCTCACATCTTGTAGAACTATGCTATAAAAGTAAGGAACATGATGGACTATATATAAAACTATAAAAGTGGCATTATTCAAAAAATAAAACTAGAAAAGTGAAGGGCAATTACATGTTGGATTGCTACTGAAAAAAAAAAAAACTAATTTTTATCTACGGTCAATTGTTAGCCACCCCGACCATCTCAAGATATTGATTTGTAGTGACTTGAATAGGATTTGTATTTCAACTAGTAATGTTGTTTATGAAAATGTTTTTAATAATTTATAATTTGTTTTTTTTTTCAACTTTTAATAAAGTATTTAATATAATTTGTGTATTCTAGTTAAACATCAATCATGATTAATTCTACCAATCTTTTATACATATATAATATATATATATATATATATATATATATATATATATATATATATATATAAAGAGAAATTAGATATAAAATCAACATAGTTATTCTTGAAATTTGATGAGACTAATAGTTCTTAATTTTTTTGAATATTATTGACTCTATTACAAGGTAGTATCTCTTCTATCCTGAAGACCTTCCCTCAAGGGAAGGACGGGGGTGTCATCTGAGCACAAGATGTTAATATCATAACATAACAATACTTAAAATCTTTAATCCATGCATAGCATATATGCAATAGTTATGTTGTGCAACCGTGTGCACCATGTATGGTACACACGGTTGCAAAACGACGTCGTTTTGACTAAAAACGCGCGTCCCATTTTAAAAAAAAAAATAGTTTCGATTCCCCTCAACAGCATTATGTTGTTCATTCATTGTGGATATTTAATTAGTTCATTCATTGTGGTTATTTAGTTCATTCATTCTGGATTTTGTGTTATTCATTCACTGTGGAATATAGTTATGAATTTGTGGATATATAATTCAAATTATGCACAAAAAAATGCTATTTCCGAGAATCGAACCTGATTTTTTTTTTTAAAATAGGATGCGCGTTTTTAGTCAAAACAACGTCGTTTTTGCAACCGTGTGCACCATGTATGGTACACAAGGTTGCACAACATAATTTGCGGCATATATGGGTGTCATGTTAGTGTCAATTAATAATAATGTTCAATCCAAGCAATTGTAATCACGCTCCAATTCAAGTTGGTTTCCTGCTTTCCCTCTTCGGCCTCGTAGTATAGGTTAATTGCTTCTTCTTTTTCACCTTCTTCTATTGTGGCATCATAGCAAAATCCCAGCATAACAGCAAGACATTTTGGATCCTTCCAAGGCTTGAAGGCTCGTTCTTTAGTCATATTCTGCAACAGTTGAACCACCAGCATTAATAAAATTTTCTAAAGTTGTGACCAAATTCCAGACTAAAATGTGAATCAAGTTCATCTCCAGCTTCACCAATCACCACCAAAAACTATAGGACCATACCATCATCAGGAAGGAAGGAACCTTTTCCTTTTTTCTCAAAATGAAAATGAAAAAGCTCAATTCATAAAATTCGATCACATTGTTTTAGTTCTCAGCATCAATCACAAAGAATGGAGTTTTTAAGTGTAAAGATTATAAACTGTACTTCATTAATGTAAAATAATGAGCTATAAATAGTCTACAAGAGAGGGAGAATAGTAGGAGGTTGTAACAACTTGTTCAACACACCTATTCTACAGGAACATAACTATCACAAATATAAAGAGATAAAATGTCAGCCACACATATCCTTAACATTAAGATCCAACAAAATCCACTTTGGAAAATGTTGAAACAATACAATTGAAACAAAGGACCACATAATATTTGGCACATTTGACTGTCGTCAGTCCTCCCAATAATATATATTTAGTGGCACAAAAGTGGCTTCCTGAGAACACTAAGGGTGTGTTTGGTTCGCACATAGGAATCGAAATCGGAATGGGTATCAAATACTTGGTAATGGTAATGGGTTTTGGTGGAAGTATTTAACATGTTTGGTAGTAGGGTCGAATGGGAATGGTTACTAATAGTAGTGCTTGAAAATGAATAAGGGAATGAAACCCTTATTTTATTTGGGTATGAATTTTTAAGGGAATGATAGGTTTTTAGAACACTACTATAGGTTTTTCAATTTCTTATAATTTCACACTCAGGTCTAACATCATAATTATTGTGGTTTAAAGTGTTTTTTGCACTAAATAACACTAATGCACAAAAATATATTTAAAATGTAATGAGCTTATAGAAAAATTGCTATGTTTACATATAAACTCACAAAAATCAATATAAATATATAAATTACCTTAAATTATACAAAGAAATCGCGATCGTGAATACTGATTCCTAGCTTCCAAAATATTTTTAAGTTTAACCACATCCTTAAAATTGAAGAAATATTTACAAGAACCGGGATTTAAAAAAAAATCAAACAATAAAAATACGAACAAAAAAAGCAAAACCAAAATCAAAATGCAAACCACGTCAAATTTTAGATATCATGAGGAAAATATGAAAATGAAGAAAAATAAGGAAAACATACTACAAGATCGAGAAAATCTAGAGATGGAGAAGATATAAGGTAAAATTTTACTGATTTTTAGTGGCATTGCATAAGTTCAAATACTAGAGATCAAGTTTGAGAGCACACTGTTGGAAATTCGCGTTTTTCCGACCACCAAAAAGTGGTCGGAAATGGCCAAAATGGGGTTGAAAACCCTTGTTTTGATCGATTTTTTGACCACTTTTGATATCAAACTAGTTAGATCTAACAAAAAAAAAAAAAAGAAAAAAGACATAAATGGAAGTTCTAAGTATATAACTATATATACACATACCATGCTTGATTTCTACATTATTGTGAGTGGTTTAGCAAAAAACATCCAGTAGAAACGAAGAATTTGTAGAAAGATGTTAAAAAAAAAAAAAGGAGAGAGGGGTTTGGAAACTGGACAGAAAGTCTCTGCTACGGGTAGATATAAAGGAATTTCCGACCACCCACGGGTGATCGGAAACAGGCAATTTTAAAAAATAACTTAGGAAATTTTCGACCACTTACCAAGAGTGGTCGGAAATATCCGACCACCAAAGCGGTCGGAAATTTTCCACACGGCTAAGGAAATCGTAATACCTTTCCGGCCACTATTGCATGTGGTTGGAAACTAACGACCACTATAGAGAAGTGGTTGGAAACTTCCGACCACTCTAGCGATTGACGAAAAAAGGAAAAAAAAAGCGCGATTTGTGACCATTTTTTGAGGTGGTCGGAAAATCGCGAATTTCCAATAATGGCAGTAGATCGAGTGTGGAAATAATGAGAGATGAGTGTTTTAAAGTTTGGAGAAACTGAGAATTTAAGAAAGAGAGTTGAAGCTGCTAGAGGCTTTTTTTTTTTTTTTTTTTTTTTTTTTTTTTTTTTTTCGGGGAGTTGGAGAGTATGAAAATCTTTGTTTATGGGGGTATTGGGAAGGGTGGGAATGGGATAATAATAGCTAGCTAGGTGGGTGATATGATTATAGGCACTTGGGTAGAGATGTCAATTGTACCCGTCCCTGACGGGAAACCCGATTCCCCGCC